TCATAAATTATCTTAACAAGACGTAATGAAATCTGTGATAATCATCGACACTGATAGTGTGACGAAGAAGCTTTCGTCAAAGGGACACGTGCGTGATCTATGCGCTGTGAAAATCAACGAAACAACTTGATTTTCCGAAAAAGTTCCAAGCCGATGACCGATTACTAATTTTCGATGCCCCGAAATTTCAAGCGAAACCCACGATACCACCTGCGATCGATACAACCCGCTATAACTGTCGCTTATATTCCAACGTTTAATTGTCGAACAGTTAGTTGTAATTCAATTTGTTGTGATTTTCTTTCTCACGATGCGATGTGTGAGAACACAGTTTAAGTGATAGTCGCAAGTCGTTAGTGGCCATTGTCCGTTACGCAAATAGAATATTTTGGATCTTAAGTAAATATTTATCATATATAGTATAGTACATGCTCTGTGATATGATCTACGTATTATGTTTTAAAACTACAATTACTATAATAATGGCATATCTAGTTACTTCGAAAATGTTTAACGTGTTTGGAGTCTCGAATTCGAAATACGACATGCTCGTATACAGAAAAAAAATTGCAATTTTTTATTTCATACTGAATTATTAATTCTATTTAAACACATATTGACTAATTTAACATTAATTTGTATCTTGTATGCGGGAATTATTGTTAAGAAAAACAAATGCGTATAAAATGTGTTGTCTATGTGCCAGTACACACTATTTAATAACTTAATAAAGATAATTCTATTAATACCTCGTGCTCATAATGTTCTACCTACGCAAAATAGCAAAATGTCATCTTAGTCAGCCGACGACAGAGAACTAAGAAGTACAAAAACTGCTTTTGCCTTATATTCGCCTCCATGAATAGTCGCCGCCCAGTTTTTCCAGTAAACTTGATTCGTCATGTCCAATTAAAATAGACGCACGACTTTTCACACCGCCTGCCTGAACACTTCGTGCTAGAATTGCATAGGAAACTACTAAAATAAATTATCGATAAGGAAACTAAACATAACTTGATATTTTATTACAACGATCGCAGAACGTGACGTGTTTTAAAACAGCAAAATGACATCACGTTACTGTTTGTGAACGTAGTACATACTTTTATGAGTGTACTATAATTTATTTTATAATAGCAGCTCTAGAACTACTAATTACAATAGTGTTCCTTTTGATGCATCAGAGTTTAAACACGTCAGGAATTAGATCATTTATTGGAATCGACTTAATATGATTTAATTGAACCACACCCATATTTCAACAATAATTAAACGATTAATTTTGGTATAATAGGTTTGAAAATAATATAACCAATGAGCTTAAAATGCTAATTCTATTTGAAACCTATACTAATATTATAAAGAGGTAAGGTTTGTGAGTTTGTGAGGTTGTACGGGGGTAATCTCTGGATCTACTGAACCGATTTAGATGAAATTTGATAAGAAGATAATTTGAGACCCTGGGAAGGACATAGTTTTATCTGATAATTTTTATCCCGGAAATCATCCCTTAAGGAGGCGAAAACGGGGATGAAAGTTTTTATGGGGAATCAACACAGGGACGAACCCGAGCGAAGCGAGGGTGACTCGCTAGTACTGAACATATTTAACACGAGTAAAATCAAAACAATATTTTCTGTTAAAAGAAAATACTAAAACTAATATTATTACTTTAGATACAAGAACAAATTTTGCATGTAATTAAATAAAACAATCAAACTTTATCTTTACGTCATTTTATTTTTACAGAGAATTAGAATCGATTCGATCATTTTCCCACGCGTGTGCTTTACTGGATGCTTTTTGTGCTCAAACACCAACTTTTACAATAAAAAACCGAATTCAATCACGTTTTTCATTCAGCGCCTTCCGTGATTACTGTACAATAAAAGAATACAACGTTTATATTATATATTGTTAGTTCTACTAGCAACTAATAAACAGATTATGTAATTAAAAATGATCGTATAATATTATACTTTCAAGGATATTTAAGAAATATAAACAAATCGATAAAGGATAAACATTTTTCCGTTTGTTAATTAGTGATTGTTTTTTCTTTTTTAATTTATATTGAGACAGAAATGCACTTGAAGTAGGTATAGCTTAATTATTAAAGAAATAATACTAGGGTTGAATTCAGTTATACCTTGGATTTTAAAGATCTTCAACAGGTCCAGTATTTCAACCAAAATTTTTAACACTTTACTCAATATCTTTAGAAAAAACATCAAAACTGACATTACTAATGCTAGTTAATCGTACATATAAATTTTTTATTTCTCTGTTACATTCAATTAATTAAAATAGATTTACAATGACGTACCTGTACATATATTGTGTATAAAATAAAACTGCTAGTAGATTAATAAAAATAATTAAATAAAAATTAATGTATAATCAGCTAAGTTAACTTTCAATATACTTACTCAAAAAATATACACACGATACATTCTTTATCTCTTCTTTTTTGAATCCGGTCAAAAAGTAGTCAAAAAAAGATTGTGCAATAAATCACGTCGATCAGTTTTTCTATTGCCAAATTCAAAAAGTAAAAATAACTAAAAATATAGCCGATTAGGTGTTACATATTATAAAATTTTCATTTCGTAAAATGAGATTAACTGCAACTTCTAAAATTGCCAACAATATAGAATATATACTGTAATTCTCTCGTTCTCCTTCTATCTTTTACTTTACCACACTTTGTCTTCCTTTTGTGTATATATATATATATATATTGCCTAGCGACTCACCCTCGCTTCGCACAGGTTCGTCCCTAGGTACGTTTGAACGGATAACGAACGAACGAATACAAATCTTTTAATTTCTCGGCTTTTCTGTACTATAATATGCATGTATTATACGTTTAAACCTTCCTCTTGAATCACTCTATCTATTGCTGAAAACTGCATTAAAATCAGTTGAGTATTTTAAAAGATCTAAACAAATAGACAGCGAAAGCGACTTCATTTTATACTATGTAAAGATTTGGCTTAAGTATCGTTTATTAAACTCAACAGATATTTGGCAACCACAGACAAATACTTTAATTTTATTTATATACATAGATTTCATTCAATTTATAATTTCATTGTAAGATATCGAAATACGAGTATCTTGCTCGACTACGATTCAGCCGACAATTTGGTTGTAGCGAGGCATGCATTTGACTGCTTTGACTGCCTAATTACACCCCATACTGCGCAGAGACATTCAATGCTATTGTCGAAATGTGAAGGGTAATTCCGTCACTCTTGTTGAGTCTATGTTTTATGATACTATAATAAAAGTTACCCATCAACGGTTTTTTACACATGACTTCGCTTAGTGAAAAGTAATGAAGAAATTTTACGTTTAATGTAAAGTTTTATCTTTAATGTAGAGTGCTAATAATAATATGCTAAAAATATTATTTTATATCTGACTCATATCATACAAGTTATACTTATACTTTTAAATCATAAATATATCTCAAATTTAAAACTAACGATAGTTTAATTCAGAAATGTATTAAAATGTCACTTGCAGGATTTTAGCGTGAGCGAAATTATTTGCATTAAAGCCGACATGTCTTATTTTGGCTTAACCCTATAGACCTACATGTATAGTATACAAATACGGATATAAAATATAAAAGTTTGGAGTATGTAGCGTCGAGTTTATTCGCTTTTTGTTTCTTTTGTTTGTATATAATAAATAGTAAAAAAATAATAAGTATATTTTACTCGGATACTAATTTTGTAGTAATTAAATCTGGCTCTCTCTTTCTCTCTCTCTTTCTCTTTCTTTCTCTATCTCTTTCTCTCTCTCTCTCTCTCTCTCTCTCTCTTACACACAAACACACAACATACACAGACACACACTTTTATTCTTTAATAGGAATTTCAATTATGTATTAATTTCTCTGTCAGTAATTAGAATGCAAAGCAAAGGTGTATTTACGAACAGCCTAGTCCTCTGCCAACGACGTGTGGAAATATATTCATTAAGCGATTATTCGAGGTTAATAGCTATATTTGACAAAAGATAAATTATTTGCCATATTTATTACCAGTGATTAAATTTTATGTTCTCTTCAAGCTATTACATCTGACTGTATCTATCAGACTTGATGTAAAAATACCCTTTGCAACAATTACTTTCCAACTAAAAAAGATACCTACTTCAAAAAAAATGTTTTTTTTTTAATTTAATAAAATTTTAATCAAATATGGAAGGAATTCACTTAGGAAAACTTAATTAAATTACCCTATAATCTATTTATTTAAAAAACATAAAAACTATGTAGCTACATCACGACTGCAACCAAAGTTTACTTTGATATTACGCTAATGTTAAGTTAAAATGGTATTTTTGCAACTATATTATTTTTAATTCTACACAGTAAAGGAGATAGTTTGGAATTAAATAAGTTTATAACAAAACATATTTTGATATAATGATTTTATTTTCAATAAACATTTTTGAGAAGTGCTTAATATAATGTACTTAAAGTAAAATATTCTAGATAAAACGTAGCTATAAAATAAATACAATTTTATTATTAAATCACAATTGCATGAAGGCATTCGTTAAAATAGTGTAAAGTTGAAATGATTTCTACTTCGATAAAATTTATTTTAAAAATATTCTACAAATTTTCTATAGTACAATTATCTTACATTATATTACATATTAAACTTAAAACTATAGTACATCTGAGTCAATTAATTAATATTAATTAGGAACAAAGTATCTGTCTTATGTCTACACTTCTACGAGTAAATAAAGCTGTATAATACAAAATTCCAAATATCTATGCCCATAAAGAACTCTTAATGAAATACGAAAATAGAGGTCTCTTGAAAATGTTTACAAATTATTTCATTGACTAATTCGGACGAAGGCACTGACGATATGTAGACGAACACTTTTAAATAACTTGCGTTTCACATGTTTTAAGTTATATTTACTTCTATATTTTATAGACAATACACTATTATATATATAACTATTTAGTGAACCCTTCCCATGTCCATTCCACCAAGTTGTCCAAGGTACGGATATCCAGACTTCGCCTCAGTGGGCGAATGCGCATGCGATGCGTAATGTGCATTAGTGCCGAAGAATGAACTATAACAAACAAAATATTCCGTTAATAATGTGTAAAAACTAGGAATATTTAAATTACAAACAAATATAATAAAAAGAAATAACATTAATCTATATATAGGTACATATAATAAAATTGTAACTAAGCCGAATCTGTACATTAAATATTTTTTGGAAAATCTTATTGAAAACTTTATTATCGATACAGAGGCCGAATCTATAGTTTTTAGAATTGTTGTCTGTCTGTCTGTTACCGCATCACGGAAAAACCACTGGAGGGATTTTGATGAAATTTGGTATGGTGATAGCTGGTTATCCGGGTCAACATATAGGACAGGTACTTTTTACCGCAGAAAAATATCTCATTTCTGAGAAAAAATACACAACTGCATTGTAAGAGTATACTAATATGTAAAACCTAAGAATTTGGTTTTTGGACATCTGAACGCGAGCGGAGACGTAATTAAATATATATGATATAGATAAATAATAAACACTCTATCGGTTAGCATATTATGATACTATTTTGTTGTATAAAACAATTTTACGTCTTATTGTTTTTACGAAAATATACATATCACGGCTATAATAAAAACACAAGCAAGCGTGGGAACGCAGAAATGATTGACACAAAAAATTAAACGTCAGAAGAGATATTGGTATAGTATTAAGAGTTAAATCACAGAGTAGTCGCTGTTTCTACAAATAATTGCAACCTATGTTTGGTCCACCGAATGCGTAATTTAGGTGGTCGGTATGATATGAAAGAAAACTCAAGTAAATGACTCTTTATGGAAACAAATCGTGACTAAGCTTACAATAAAATTATACATTCAATTGAATTCAGTGGCTAATACGTTATTAAGGCTTATTCATGTTCAAAGTAACGCATAAACAATAATAGATTATTGTAACGTGTAGGTGGATAGGCTTAAAGATTAAAACCTTCGCAACTGATGTAAGCTTAAAATACATAGGTATTATATTAAAAGCTATCATTTAGTATCGGAACTGAGCGTAGGTACGTTTAGTATACAGTAATGTAACATAGCTGAAATATCTATACTTCTATGGTTTGCTAAAGAGGTAAAATTGACTGTTTGTTTGTTAGTGGTATTCTTTGAGACTACTGCACGGTTTTCATTACATCTATTTGTTCATGTTAATCTACATATTTTTATCTAAATAGTAATCAATATCGTGAACGAAAATTAATCTTTAACAAAATTAATAATTAATTTATTCATCGATGAGGACTATCATTGGGTAATATAATCGAAAATTCCTTTGAAAGTGCTACCGTGAATGCAATTTTCCGGTTCCAAGAGATGGACGGTGTTTAAATTGAAACAGGTGAAAGAGAAATTTAATCAGTTATCGTAATTAACATACACAAGATATCATTTCGAAAAGCTGCATTGCAGCTACTAAGTGGAACGGCGCGGGAGCACGCAACACAGTGCAGTCCCTAATTTGGCTTAAACAACAAATTCTTATATATTAGTTACTTTTTGAAATAACTAAAATATTCAGTTACAGTTAAGTTATAAATTAAAGAAAATTGAAATTACATTTTATCTCAAAATTAACTTTAATAAACGTATTTCAAAGAAGAGATTAGATTTTTCAGATTATTTTGTCATATGAATAACAGGTATAATAGGCATATATAAATAAAATGGGTTTAATTAAACACGTAGATTAAATGTTTGATTTATGTTACCTATTGACAGATTAAACTGAACGCATGCCTAACGCAATACCTAAAGCCTAATATTTCAATCGATGTGCAATTGAACAGCAATTTTCGTTCACCTGTACTGCATCCATCAATCACGAATACATATTGAGCGAACAAACGGTTCGTCCGATATAAACTGTCCAATAAAAGGTACAGAACCTCGCTGTTTAGGAAGTCGAAGGCAAATAGCTGCAGATAACTTTTAATACCAGGTTTGAGTTAACTTTAATGCACAGGTTCATCGCACTAATGTCACGTTCGGCCTCCCATTAATTGCCGAGCGCTCGGCACAAAGCAACGTGTGTTTATCTGTTTTCCGCAATGTACAACGGTGCTAAAGCCTTCTACGCTTATTACTTGCATCGTATTACTAGCCTTATTGCCTTTGAATAAATATCATATTCCTATATTCCAAAATATAAAAGCACAACCATGCCTGATGTTGTGATAATAAAAACTAAATTGAACAGTTTCCAAACAAAGTTACGGAAGGCACCAATTGTTTTATAGTTTTAGATTGATGATGATCAAGAAATATATATGATGGTACAAGGGTATTTTTTGAATTTCTGAGATATGTACTGTTAATTCAATAATTTTATTATTGAATGTTTGATACAAAATATTTGTAGTAGAAATGCCCAACAACACATTTAATTTATTTCAATAACTCTTATTTAATACCGTTAAAATTAAAAGCAATATTTGATAATAAAAAGGTGTCAACTTAATTGGTTGCTTTCAAGATCTTACAAGGAAATACTTTTCAATTAATTTCCGAACAATCACATATCTTTCGACAGTAAATTACGTAGAATTTTCCACTACTTCTTATGCTTTTTAAAATGATCTGCCTAAGAATAGAAGTATTTCAGGATAAGATATTTTTTGGTGTTTGAAATTGATAAATCGAGCTCCACTTTTCTTCTTAAAAGTTACGTCAATCGAGGTTGCCAAAAGAACTAGAATAAACTGATCACCATAGACGTGGCTAACTCATATATTATTAGAGTTCTCTTTGTACTGTAAAATATATTGTGTGTGGTCCAATGTTAAGTTTATCGTCCCGCTTTGTCTCGATTACACAGATAAACGACGTTGTCGTTTGAAATACAAAGCGACGATGTATTCGTCACATTCTTTTCGTCAAATTTATTGTAATAATTACACGCGTGAACAGAATTTTCCTTAATGGAAACATATGAGAAATTTTAGTAAAAACATCATGCGTACTAAAATAGTGCCATAGGAGAGGCCTATGTCCAGCAGTGGACGAAAACAGGCTGAACATGATGATGATGATGATGATGTACTAAAATAAAACTAAATATATCGTTACTTCAAAACCAATTAGTGATCGATCAAAAATATACATAAAATTCACAGCCCTATTGCGTTCACGATCGCATCGGCGTATTACGAAGAGTAGCCTGTAATAACTACCCGCGCGGCGTATAATGTCTGACTTCTTACACTCTTAATTGATTAGCGGCCGCCTCGGCTAATGATAAAGGAAGGTGAAAAGAAATAAATTAATCTCAATTTGCGAGATCTATGCCTTGATAATATGAAAAGGACCGGATCACATAACAATTAATGACATAGAATCACTCAATTTTAACTTATATAAAAATATATACATTTACTTAAAAATATACTTATATTTCTTACTGGCGGCTCACCTCGGCCAATCTCGGGTGCGTACGTTTTAAATACATATAAATAGTTATTAGCCAGCGTTAGCCGTATAAATTTTAATTTCTTTTTTCGTTAATTTTTCATTTTTTCTCGTTATTAAAAACTTCCGTGGACCCTAAGGAACATACGAAAAAAAATTTGGCCGAATTGGTCCAGCCATTCTGGAGTTGTTTGCTTACCAACATTCATTTTTATTTATATTTCCTATTTCCTATATAAAAGACATGAAAAACTTATATGAAATAATATTTATATTGCAAAATACATAAATAATAAAGTTTAAAAGTTACTTCACTTTAATTGCATATTCATCTTTAAGTCCAAAACTGAATACGCAGCTAAGCATCAATAATTCATAAAGGCAATTGGTCGCCGCTAGGGCTTATTGAGATATTAAAGGCGGTTAATATTTATTTATAAATTCATCATCATTAAAGATATCTATATAAAAGTATAAAGTAAGCCTACCTGTAATTATCTGACCAGGCGCTGACTTCAGCTAATTTATTTTGAGGGTGACCGCTCAGTTGTCTTGATGTCCAGTGGTTATGGGCTGACATGTGGTCTTGTTTTGCATAGTCGCCATATCCATACGGATGAGAAACCTCAGTTCCATTTGTGTAGCTTGGATGCTGATAAGTGATTGCACTACTCTGGTTTGCAGAAGGACTTGCCGCAGTCGGACTGGTGCTTGGAGGTGTAGCATCAGATGATGCTTGCAAAGGTGTGGGAAGTTCTGATGAATGGGAGAGTGGAGTCAGGTTTCCTGATGAAAACGAGCTTGAAGTTGGTGGATGTAAAGAAGATGCTGCTAATGCTGATTGACATACAGATGGAGCCGATAACGCTGATTGGTGTAGAGAAGGTGCTAAAGCAGAATTAAGGACAGAACTTGAGCCCAATGCAGAAGAATACGATTGCTGCCAAGAAGCACATTGGGCGTTGAAAGTAGATGGAGGCTCATATTGTTGATGAACAGATGGAAAAGCAGATTGTAGGGACATAGTGTTAAATGCACTAAGCTGTTGAGAATTCAATTGCTTACGAAGCCTTGCTCTTCGGTTTGAAAACCAGACCTGTTAAAATAATTGGTCATAAGTACTCCAAATAAATGTACAATAACTCCATTATATTAATTTGCAAGCGTCAAATATTATATAATACTATTTAGTTCAAAAGTACTATAAATATGAAAGTAAAACTGCATGAAAATCGAGGCAGCCAACTTGATTATAGCTTGAGTTAGATGAACACAATATTTATATTGATTACTATAATTTATTACAACCCATTAATACAACAAAAGTAGGAGTTCAGTAGCGACTAAAAGCATACCATATGCTCGGTTACGTACTATAATTAATTGTATAGATAATTACTATACTTTTTTTATTTTTTATTAAACTATTATTTAGTCGAATACGAAGGAAATGGTATATTTTTTAAATACTTTCGAACAAAAGTAATTTAATAACGTTGAAAATAAATGCTTAGCTTAAAGCTTTATCTGACTTAACTTCGCTTAATTTATCTTTTTGATTCTAAAATAAAATATGTATGTATAACTGTTTTACTGACGACGATAAAAAGATACTTAGTTACCTGGACTCTAGCCTCTGTAAGCTTCGTTTTCTGTGCCAATTCTTCACGAGTGTAAACATCAGGATATTGCGTTCTTGTGAAAGCTCGCTCCAGTGCCTCAAGTTGATCTCCAGAGAAGGTAGTTCTAGATCTACGTTGTTTACGTTTCAAGGTTATGCCAGGTTCAGATTCCGTATCAGAGTCTTCACAAGATGATGGGCCTTTATAAAGAAAGATAATCTATTTATAAATAATATTTAAATATAGGCATTGGTAAAAATATATATCTGCACTTTGTTAACTAGTATATTTATATATAAGCCGACTCATTTGAGGACATCATTCATAGAAAATCTGCTTTCTCTTTTTGTAACTAAACTGCTTTCCACATGATAAACTTAATAGAGTTATTAAGGCTCAAGATTTTCGAATAATCAACGATAATGTAGCTAAATCAACTGTATATGTAAAATTTGTCTATACTTTAACACTTTCTAGTTACCGATCATTTTGTTCATTACTTCTATTATTGTCGTTGGCTACCGCTCGGACCACACGCGGTCTCGATTAAATTAAATGAAATCACATTGTATATTATTCTCAAAGAAGTCTCTAATGAGTTTCTTGGGTGTTAATAAATATTACAACAGTTTGTGGGTTGATGTATTTCATTTCTTTTACCGCTACTGGATTTTCTCTAAATATAAACTTTCTTATTCATTTTCGTACATTACTAATAAATACAACTTAAGTAAATAAAATGAATTTCTTTTTACGAAAATATTTATTATTTTTTAGTAAAAGCCCTTTAAATATTCACGGCCAAAAATTATCATACGTAATTGACCATAAAAGTTATGAAAGCTGCGACACTCAACTAATCGTTTCTTCGAAAAGCTTTACCAGTTCCACAACATTTACAGTTACACTGTGTCATAGATAGGCACGAAACGCAAATTTTAGTACGCAAAGGGACCCGCTTTTGCAGTGTAGACATTACTTTAGCCGCACACGACTTAATATGCATAATCTTATCGCGGCGCAGAATCTCTCCGGCAAAACCGCACCGTCGCTGAACCGGGATATTAGGAGCGCCATTTTATATTGGATAGCTATACGGCACAAGACGTGCAGTACGGACAGATTGTCGTAATGCAAGCCTCGCGGCCAAACGCGATGGGATAATAACAGCTTTGAGTACTAATTTCATTTTTATAACCTACAATTTCCGAAGCCGACACAAGGGGCGCTGCCGTGGCGTGCGCGCGCGCCTTGCCCGCTTTACTTTTACGTGGATTATTAACTTTATACGCCATTTTACTGAGTTTGCAAACGTTTCCGACAGTCTCATTATAGGAATAAATTCATAATAATAATGTACTTTAAAGTGAATTAAGTGATTATGGTCTTGAATCAGCGTTAAAGACTACGATGACATGGCACTTATTTACGCGTCATTATAACGAAGATTTCACTCAATACTATAACTGAAATATTTTCTGAAAGATTCTTTGATGAGGCCAAATGCTACATTAAGTTACATTTTAAAATAATTTTGTATTCTGAGAATAATAGAAATAGACTACTTTATGGTGGATAGTGTTTATGAAAATAGTAGAGCAAACTTTAGCAATATACCGTTTTCAAAGCGCATGTTGCAGCTCAACAGTTGTTCAAGTGGACCACGAGAGTAACATCCTATATTCGCTCGAATAAAATGCAAAAAGGCATTTGTAAATTATAATTGGTATTCTAAAAATAGGGACTAAATATGAACATTCATTACTAATATTTTTATAGACAGAGGTAGTATTTAAAAGCATATCTATAAAAATAGCTTTAGTCCAAGGTAAGTAAGACTTACCTAGAATACCATCAATACTGTGGTTTCTTCTAGGATCTGAGTCATCCCTTTTGCCTCCTCTTATAAGTCGCGAAATTGAACTGACCGATGGTGCAGTGTTTTTATCACAAATGCCTTCTTTTATTAATTTATCTCTAATTTCCCAGGAAAATATACCTGGGTTTTGTCTCTTGAGCTCCTCTATCCTGTTTTCAACTTCGGGCGTAGCTACTCTCGGTTTTGAACCTCCAATTACACCCGGACGTATTGAACCAGTTTCCTAGGAAGATAAAGAAGTTTAATTAAATTAAGTAAGATACAGTTACAAAATATTTTGAATTCATTATGTTGTATTTTTTTCCTATTTATACAAGATACAAAAACAATCAGAGCCCTGATGATAATAAATCAAATCAAACCTGATATCTATTCAGGATCTTGGAGACGCAACCATGAGAGACTCGAAGCTGGCGTGAGATAACGCAAGGTCGTACACCCGCTGCCGCCATCTCCACAATCTTTAGCCGAATATGGTTAGGTAGAGGGCGACCATTGATGAATACGCCACCCAGTTGATTCATACGACCCTGTCCTGTAACAAACACATATTTTTTTAGAACAATGAAATTAACCTTTTATAGAACAGATCAAAATACTTGACTCACATCGCAAAATATACGTACATATATTATTTATATGAAATTTAATTGTAAGAAAATATGTTCAGGAAACTTACAAATCTATTAAATATTATATTAACAATTATTACAATTATTTCAAATTTATTCTAATTACTTTTGATTTAATGACTTATTCTCAGCTTCCCACAGTGAAAGGTAAGTTATCAAAAACTTAATTAATAAGTTTATTATGATGAGTATCGAGAGCGGTAATTAACTTCGTTCAACAATAATTGCAAATAAAATTCCTTGAGATATAAAACATTTCTGAGACTATTAATATTTGTGAGTAAAGTGGCTATTATAATCACATCACGGCCAGTGGTTGGGACCACCAATCGTCAAAGGAAGCCGCCGATCAACGATTTTTGCGACGCCTTTGTATCCGCTTTGACTCCTATTGAGCCGAAATACATTACGAAAATAATTTTACATATATTCCATTTTACGTTTTATATTGTTATAATTGACGCAATTAGTAAAAATTACATTTTTTTTTAATAAAATAATATTGAAATCTAAATACTACATACTCGTATATATAGTTAGTAAAAAAATATATGAACTTATTATGTTAATAATATAAATTTGGTAAGTCAAATCATATCAAGATTTTTTATTTGCCATGAACTAAAGGCATCAAAATGATTGTAGATATGTCTAGGAAGGCGTTCCGACATTCTTTCCTAATTTTTCTCCTTTGACAGACACTTCTCATTTGTAACGAAAAAAATAACAGTGGCATGTTCCACTTGTAAAGGCATTTATAGTTTATCAATTTCAAATAATTCCTCAAAGATACCGCCACACGTAGGACCCTGGACCCCTGCCGAGAAGCACCGATCAATTAAACAACATGTCAACAAGTATGTCCTATAATAAGGCGAGAAAACACAAATAAACCATTGTAAAATAAACCGTAACTCAAATGCCATACGAATAAAAATTGTAGTGACTAAAACAAAGAACCAAGTAAACGGCTAAATCTTCGTTTAGTTATAATCTTTATTTTCTTCTTAATAAGACTTAGTAAATTCACATTTTATGGTCAAACCTGACTAAAATTCTGCAAGTGGACCCCATATATTTTTTATCGGAATCCCGTAGACGTTGTGGTGCCCGTGTTCTTTGGTGTTCATTTAATGTTCCCGAAATATTTATGACACATAATAATTCCTCTATACAAATGTGGGTGGCTTAGTGTTAATGTATCACTTTATTATATTTTGTTATACTAATATATTATACTTTATAGATACATCATTACAAAAATCATGTTAAATGCGAGTATCATAATATTTTCTTTGTAAATATAATTTCTATAAACTTTTAAGTTATATATTATTATATATTGTTAGATCAAATTTAAAATTCTAACAATGACTTACTACCAAGTCTAAGCCAATAAGCTAAATTGATATACAAATGAATACACAGACCGAATGCCTCAACAGTGGAATAGGATCAATCAAACGATCGCCCAATAAGGGCATAAAAAGGGACAAAGAAACTTGAAATTCACAATGCGTAATAGAATTCGCAAACATTGTAACGCTATTAACGCAAAAGGAGGCGAAGTTAACAACAACTTTCAACATTTATTCGGTAAAACTAATCGTCCGGAAGCACATTTTGATCATGCACCATTTTGTCAGTACAATAGTCGCTATCAGGGTGGTATAGCAATTGATACAAAAGTAAAAAAAGTGTACAAGAAATGTGAGTCAGTGGGTATTCGGAAGCCAGAGTTTTTACTTACGCGTCTTATTCATAGCATTTGCAAGAGTGACTCCTTTGAAATATAATCACACACTAAACTTAGATAGGAACCATAGAAGTATAGAAGGTATAAAATTCACACAATAACATAATCGTGTACCGATTCGTTCAACCGCCACATTCGTGTAAGACGAAATTGAAACAGAGTCAATCATTTAATGCTAAACGTAAGAAGCAAACCGTGACAAAATAAATGAAGATTTTCTATTCACTATTCGAATTTCTGTGTCAATTTTAATTAGCAATCACATTTTCATCAAACTTCGCTTCACCATCCAGTTGTCATAAGCATTGTCGCTCTGATTGGATTTCTTAAGTACATTTTTACGTTACCAAATTCCGCTTTCAGTTTGAGTGACTCCGATTTCTTAATGCAGGTCCAAACTTTGAAATCAATACCCTTCCGAAGCTTCGGATTTAATAGAGCAATTTTAATATTATTCATGACTTATACTGTGGGCATCTCAAAATTGACATCTTAAAATATAGAATTATTATTTTATAACTAATCACAGTGTGAAAATATTATTAAACACTTTGTAAAGTAATTTCGTATATTGACTGTGACATTATATGTCATAGGTTATTGCTTCGATACCGCCAGAGGCACACTACACTGAAACGGCCAATAAAAGTTACGCAGGCAATAGGCGTAAAGATATCCCATTCGCATATTTGTTTCAACCCATGCCCTATTAATCGTTTACAATCGTTCCCTGTTAACTATATAAGTTAAAAGTTATTATGTATAGAAGCTTCATAAAACTTTTAACTTAAGTAGTAACTTAATTAAAAATTCCATTACGATTGTATTACTTTCAGGAAAGGCAAAGTGGTCATAACAACTTGATACTTCATTTTTATTTTCTAAAGTTAATATCTGTGCTCGCGGTATTCGGCTAATGAAAAGAAAACTTTATTTAATTTTTGTTGACATTAATATCAATTTGTAGTTTTTAATGTTATAAATATAAAAAACGTACCCTTACCGTTCAATAATGTTCAAATCATATATTATGTGTATTGTTTTGTTTTTGGGTTTGCACCTGTAAAATTAGATGTTTTCGTAGAGTTAAAGTGATAGTTTGTAATGTTTGAAGTCGATATCATATTGTGTAAATAAACCGTAAACCCCGTTTTCACAATCATAATATGTTTCTGCTTGCAAATCAATTTCGCGTAGCGACATTAATGTACCTATAGTAAAATTTATATGAGGCTTTACGTCATATTTCCCTTTTCTAACACGAAATACGTCCCAGCGATAAATAAACGTATGGATATCAATTTATACTTAAAGTAGAAAATTAATGTTTTCATTAATGAAAATAACAATAATAATAAAATATTGAAAATAATTTATCCGCGTTCAACGTATCAACTTTGTGTTTGTACCAATTTTATTTTCAATTTAAAAAAGTCATTCCATTTCACCCATAACATGTTCAGATCAAAGAAAATATTAGATTTACTAAGGTTATCTAATGTCGAGGCCAGTTGATATTCGATAACTAAATATTATTTTATCAATAAGAAATTTAATATATTGGAATGGGAATGGAGGCTTAGAACCATTTTCTTTTATTCTGATACGTGTAGATCGCTATCGTAACCTGTTAAAATCATTTATACACTAATAAAATAAGCTATTGCTGTCCAAAATCAAGCAACAAAGCGAAGAAATGCCATTTGAATAGGCATTAGAATTGGGCGGCATTTACAAAGGCTATGTCATTCCATTAAGCCTTCTTCAAGCATTCGAAGTGCGTTGTGTGGCCTCTTGGTCGCGTGGCGAGGTGTAGCAATCGGTTATCAAATCAGTTCTATTATACTTTCATAGGATATATTGTACGGGTGATACCGTCGTGCCTTATGAGAAATTAGGTCGAGATTAACACTCATGTTGTATTCTTTAAATACAATCCCAATTCCCATATAATATAACGTTTATAAAAAGTATTATAGGTAACTCAAACAAATGATGTGAAATATACATATTTAACTAAGAAAAGTTTTCGTATAGGTACATTTGATAAATTCAAAATTAAATTTTAATCTAAATTATGAACACTTCTGATATATCATATTGTGTCAGAATTCAAGTTGCGATTTGCACTCACTTGCTATCCTTTGACCCGGCATGACCCACCATCTCGTATGCAATCTATACGGTATGGAGCTCAATTTTCTTAACATGTTTATTGCTAAAACGCATTTTGTGTTTAATATTTCCATATTGTAAAAAGAATGAAAAATTACTTAAATATAGTCTATGTCTGTTAAAAATTAAAGATATTTAACCCTACTATTAATTTTGACACAATAAAAGACAAAAATACGAAAAATCTAAGATAAGTACTGAAATGAATATCTTATACTGTTAGAAATTATAATTTTATCGATACTTTATTACCGTATCAAATATGAGTGAGTACCTATGAGTTATAACGAAACCCTCTATAGAAGTGAATGCCAACTGTTCAAACTGGGCAACGCCTTTCGGCTCGTCAACTGCTAACATAATGTATGTAGTTCTGGTGATGAATGGAACTGAATATTTTATTTCATTATAATAGTATGTTTGAAAGTGCCCTGTTTGACCTCATTCCGTATTCATGACGCGTTATGTACTAATTTGAAGGGTCTTTTCTTTTATTATAAGAAATGGACTCTTTGACGCGAACACTTGCCGGCTTGTTTGTTGAAATCATAAAATTTTCTGTAATGTAACGTAGATAAAACCCAGCAAAATAAACAGGTTTAAAAATTAATATTAGCACCATAAAGTTGAAGCTTTCTGAAATCTGAAAGAAATTTAAAATAATGAAGGTTTCATATTATTATAGTGATTTAAAATTTCATTTTATTAGAACTTTAAGTCTTATTTTCATTAGTTGTACTTTTTATATCTTGAAACCAATGTTGATAACATTCATTAAAACAAATATTTGAAGTATCTGCGTAAGTATTATTTGAGTTAAATATTCATATTATGTAAAGCAAATCCGCAATCTATGTGTTAGATGAAAAATATACTAAAACTTGCCAGGCGCCATTGCATTTGAAACAAACAATGATTAAATAACTTACGTTATTACCACGATAACAAATAAGATAATGCCAGTCGCAATTAGAATTTAATGAATAGAGTTAGAGAAAGCGTATGCGCCGCCATGTTGATTTTGATCTTTAAGCAGAAAATAAGCGTTACTCGATAAATAAGATAACGTATTATAACAAGTAAAAGTGAAATACGAATTCATGTCCAGTTCAAAGGTTTCCAAAGCATCATTAGAATTTCGAAAGCCAATTTTAATACATACTAGGTAATATTCGATTTGAAAATAAATTAAATGTCCGTTATATCAATTTGTTTATTAATAGATCGACATAAATAATGGCAAGCAAGCGCCCTGGAGGTTCGAAGGAGTTCGCGGGCGAGGGACGAGGCGTGTCATATTATACGGCTAAAAGAGCCTGTCGGTGCCTTTGATCCCGAGCGCTGTGTGCGTGAGATGTGCACCGCTGTCTAACTTGATACAAATGTGACTAAACCTTGATTATGGTACTGAACTTTTTATGGAGGTCAGGAGTATTTTTGTTCAAAATATCGAAGATGTACGAAACAAATAACAAGTTTATTGAGTTCTCGTTGGCGAGATTCGCGTGGAAATTACAAGGTGTTCGCCGATCGGTATCGATGGTCGGGCCGTCACCTAGCCCGAGGCATATCGCGGACATCGACCGTCATCGCACACATTATGCGAACTAATCGCCATTACCACCGATATTAAAAATTTCGTTAATATACATAAGTAGAGACTATACAACTTAGTACCATCTTTTTTAGCAAGCTAAAACTAAAGCAAGCATTTGCTTATATATTTTTAAATCAAATTGAAGTACCTACAACGTTTAAGTAAAATACATTTACAATCTATATATATCTATACATATAATACAATTGTAACTAAGCCGAATCTGTATATTAAATATTTTTTTGGAAAATCTTATTGAAATAATCATTATTATCGATACAGAGGCCGAATCTATAGTTTTTAGATTTTTTGTCTGTCTGTCTGTTACCGCATCATAGAAAAATGACTGGAGAGATTTTGATGAAATTTAGTATGGTGATAGCTGGTTATCCGGGTCAACGTATAGGATACTTTTTATCGCGGAAAATATCTCATTTCTGAGAAAAAATACAAAAACTGCAATGTAAAAGTATACTAATATGTAAAACCTAAGAATTTGGTTTTTGGTCTTCTGAACGCGGGCGGAGCCGCGGGCAATGCTAGTACATATAATAAAATTCTGAGTTGAATCTGTACATTAATCTTCCACGACCGCGGACACGCCGGCGTTACAGTTGATCAATAGATTTCTTAGAAATTGAATTTCTTAAAAATTTACCTGAGGTGTTAAATCTTTTTTTGGAAAATCTTATTAAAATAGATATTATTATAGATACAGCGGCCGAATGTATAGTTTCATTCATCAGAATTTTTGTCTGTCTGTCTGCCTGTCTGTTACCGCATCACGAGAAATCTACTGGACAGATTTTGACGATATTTAGTATGATGATAGCTGGTTCTCCGGGTCAACATATAGGATACTTTTTACTACGGGAAGATATGTATCTCATCTCTGAGAAATCTATACTAAACGGTAAAACGTAACTAGGGACGAACCCGGGCGGAGCGAGGATTAGTTGCTAGTAGGTATATAAAATATTTAATTAAATTGTGATTATGAGGCATTATATTTTTATTTTTAAACCATCAACTTCTTTTATCTAGCTCTACATACTCCTAAAATTTATTATATGCATAATCAGGGTCTTTTTAAAACTCTTTATATTTTAAAAATTCTAAAAAATATGTGTAATTTATCTTCAATATTTCCGTATGAAATTGAAAAGGCTCGAAGCTCGAGCTTTTCGTACTACATGTTTTGGTATGTCTGTGAAGTCCAAGAACACCGCGAAGTGACACTAAGCCAGATTTATTCTTGTAGTTATAAAATTTTGTGTCGAATTAAGGGTTTAGAGATTTAATAACATAAAAGGAACCGCAATACTAAGCGCAGGCGCATATGCTATTCAAATCATTAGGGTTTTTCATCACATAGATTAATTTAAAATAATAGTATGTATTAGAAGATAGTATAATAAAATCTAAACAAATAAATATGAGGTAAATAATTTATTAACTATCTTAGAACATTTTATTTATTTTTATTATTTATCTGCAGTAGGTATGTTTATTTAGAATTAATATAATTTGTAAGCTTTCATGCAATGTATGTATAGTTAAAATAAAACTTTAAATATTAAAAAATCTCGGCTGTCGGCTTTCTTTAGTACCATTCATCTCTTTTACTCACAATACTTTTACATATAGCGATCTCTTTCCTTTTAATTTTATCTTAGAGGAAACAGGTCATAAGTCGTGGTGACATTTTCAACAATACAGTCGAAATGTTTTCGTGTGGTAATGATTTATGTTTAAAACCGTCGTAAGAACGCTTTTTGGAGCAAGCAAAGTTCTTATTTTATTTATACAGACAGGGTAACTCTTTGATGCTTTGAGTACCGCCTCAGAAAAAAATGAATATTTAATAAGAATAATATACAGTATACCAACAATAAGTACACTATACCTATGTAATAAATATAATTTTCCCACATGGAAATATTTCATACAAATCTATTTGTTAGATAAAATCAATCATGTATTTACATATATTTAAATAAAATTATTGGATTTGAAACTCTAAATCCTTATTTAATCCATACTTAGTTATATAGATATCCATACTTCATATTATAAATGTGAAAGCGTGTTTGTTTGTTTGTTCGTTCGTTCGTTTGTTTGTCCTTCTTTCACGTAGAAACGGATTGATGGATTGGCGTGACTTTTCGTGTGGGGATAGTTGGAGGGCTGGAGAGTGGCATAGGCTTTTTACCGCGGGAGATTATCTCATTTCCACGGTAAAATACGTTATAATACAACCCAAAAAATTGTTTATGATCAGATTTACTTTAAACTTAGTATTAATGCTCTTTAATACAATTAAATATATTCGTAATTCAGCATTTTTCAAAATTCATCCCATAAGGGGGTAAAATAGGTGATGAGCTTTAGCGCGAGGGAAGCCGCGGGTTCTGCTAGTATTTAAAGAAAGAATCAATCTGCACAGTAGTTTATATTTTATACAATCTACCGTTAAAGCATTGGTGTTAAAGGGGCTGTCTCCTGCAATAAATATCAAATGGAATCAGTTTAAAACAAAGGTTATATTGTCATTTTATGACGGGCACTATTTCTGTTAGGAACGCTTTTACAACGTGACAAAAAATAACCAAGCTCTATAGCGAGTGTTATAGTAATAAAGGCCTTTCAATTTATGGAAGCGTATCCCAAACTACTCCTTATAATGTCACCTAGTGAAAACAGCAAACGTTAGACATAGACTCTTTTATAGAAACTTTTAATTAACAGAGAGATTTTACTAATTACAGCTATCTCTACAAATGCTCTCTTGAACTTTTTAAAAGCTCTAAATTGCTTAGCTACTAAATATTTTAGATATATTAAAATTTTAATGAAATAATACTTTCTTAGATTTATGCGAATATTTGACATTTTAAATAAAACTCTTTTTTTGGATTTTTTTCTCGACAACGTTTCAAATGCTTTACAGCAATCCGCGAATATTTAAAAAAAATCTTAGTTAAAGTAAATTAATATGTAACAAACAAATTATGATTATCTATTTATTTTGTGCATATATAATTCAATTCAATTACATTTAACGTTAACTATACAAAAGAGCTTTTATGATTTTATATTTTTACAAGAAACAAAAGCTTGGTTATGACAAAATTTCGTTCAGGAGAAATCGCTTTCTTACACATTTAGTCTCTGACCATTCCCGAAACTCAAACTAAACAAGGCATCCTAATTATCAAAAAGCGTTTTGTAATATATTTTTTTCTAATAGTTGTTCAACTAAAAGCGCTAGCTAGAGTGAAATATTGTTATATGAGCGGCAATAAAATACACTTTTGGTTCTATAATTTCTTCATGATTTTATCGTTTTATGGTTGTTTCGAACCTTTTAGAGCGAGAAAATTAGTTGGACTAATTATGTCATTTTAGAAGAATTTGATAGGTACTTGAAATTGACCACTCACTAATCAGCTGCCAAGCCTTGATCATATAATGTGGTACGATTTAATGATGTCGATTAGTGTTTTATGGAGAAACCAAATGCTGTAAAAACTTTACCCAAGCAATTATAAATATATTCTTATAATCATACTTTAGTATAAAATATGTTATTAGAGAATGTGTATAATATTTACAACTTAGTGTAAGAATGTTTTTGATGAACCTACAGCTGTACAATCTGTAAATAAATGTAAGACTTTGAAAAAACTAACCTTGAAATGAATATCCTGTAAAGTACGGAGTCATGTTCAACGTTGATACAGCCATTGACACGAAAGCGGATGTTAATGCGGAGAACGCTACTCCAAGCACCGAATCAGTTCTAGCACATACAAAAGTCCCGCCAATTCACAATTCAGTCTGTCACTATCACAGGTTGCACGCAGACATGATTACGTAAAGGAAACCGCGTGTGTCTAATCCGTGTTACTTTGAAGACAGCTCAGTGGCCACTGACGTGTGATGTAAAGATGTATTTCGACTCTCAAGTGTAATCTTTCACAATCAGCGGTGCAACAAAAAATGGTCAAACCGCCTCCTCAGCCTTCGGCACCTGATTGTTTGTCTCTTTCTGTTCCCCGAGCGCCTTTGTCATTCTCTATATTACCGGTTCCAGAAATATGTAGCTTAACTTCAATTTGTAAAAATATCTGGTTTTCTCATAGAAATATACCTATTTCTTTTTGGAAATTCAGTATTTGATGCTATTGATCATTTTATTTGAGGATTATATCGACTAAATGTTCCGCTAAATATCGCAGGCAATGCGACGCGGGAAAAGGACAGCATGAAGAACCTGATCTGGTATCTTTGAAATGAAGCGCATTTAACAATGTGTGAGTCGCGCCTGAGTCGGTGCTCCGTGACGAAAAACATGAGGCGTGCGGCCACAGCGATCTATGCCTACAACGATCTGTGATTGGTCAAAATTTGTTTAGGGCGGAGTTTGTGTGCACACTATGAAATAAATGTTTGTGTGTGTTAATTGCATTGTCGTTCTGTGCTCGTGTACATTACGATTTATAATTTTTCAGCAACATTTTATTTATTACGAATTATTCTTTTAGCTATACCTACTGACTGTTACATTTTTTGTTAAGTTTGTAGCATTTGAGTCCAATTTGAATATTATAGTCATATTTTAAATTAAATTGATAGTTTATATCAGTTTAACACGAATCATATCTTTATATCTGACCTATGTTAGTAAATATTATAAACTTATACAGATGCTTAAATATGATTAAATTAAGTGTTTAAAATTAGTTTAGTAAAGTTAGTTAATCTTTTAAATTATTTAGAACGAGCGGCTCAATCTCGCTTCGCTCGAGTTTGCCTCTGGTAAATCAAAAAAAATGTAACCCAAGGAAACCGTACATTTTTCCTGGATAAAAAGTAAAAAAAGTCAAAAACTAGGCTATGTATTATTCTGATGTATGAGCTATATTATTATAAAGTTTCACTAAAGTCCATTCAGTAGTTTTTGCGTGAAAGAGTAGCAAACATCCAAAGTCCAAACATCTATACATCCATAGATCCTCACAAATTTTCGCATTTATAATATTAGTTTAGATATGTTTAAATTTATACTAAAATTAGGTCATTTTTAGATGAAACTAAAATGTTATTTATTTTGTATTTCAAAAATATCCATGATTAACAAATAGGTACAACTTACAAGTAGGTACCTAATTGTTATAAGATTCCCTTATTAAGAACACGGAAAACATATGCGTATGAGCAACTTAAATCTCTGTGCTTAAAATTTTATTTTAAAAAATTAAGCATAGTAGGTACCTAGTATAAAGCAAATGAATATACTTATCCAGTTATACAGTTGTATAATTAAATTTTGTAACTTACACGACATGGTGTACCTACTACCTACTACTGCCTCTAAAGCAGAGAAATTGCATGTTTTTAATACAACGAGGCATAATTAATAATTACAGTTTTTTTTCTAACGATATTTTTACTTGTTTTTTTTTTAATCTTGATCGAAGGAAATAAAATAACATCTAGATAAAAAATAAGCAAAGTATATTATTTGAATTTACCTTATTTTATATCTTTTTTAAATTATACATTTTACTAAATTAGGAAGGTATAGATAGGTACAAACCAATAATTTATATCCTGATAGTTACATCAAGTAATCCCTGTAAGATATAAGTTTATTTCAGAAAGTCCTGAGGAACAAATAAAGATAAATATAAAAAAGTTAACAAATACAATCATTCAGTATACTTAGATACACGCACTTAAATATATACCTACATAGGTTTGTACCTACATTATTATATGGATTGTTAGCTTTCAAACAAAATCTGTTAAGCATAAAACATATCTTAAGTTTTACACAAATTAAAAAAAAATACTTGTCACTAAAATCACTAAGCAATCAAAGCAAGCAAAGGTTATAACTGAAATATTTCAAAATATCTGAATTTTAATTAAAACATTCATTAGTTACATTACATCTGATTTAAATTTGATTTTTAAGTAAAAGTTACCGTCTAAGTTAATTAAATTACCTATGACAAAAATATTTCGAGAAATTTCAATAAGCATCTTTATTAATCCTCTAAAAATTTGTAATTTTAATACTTATAAATATTTTCTACCCCACGTCTTAGCTAAGGCGAATATAAGAATTTCATCATTTTAATAACAATTTATTACCTATCTACCTACTGCTAATAAGTAACTAAATTGCAAAGAGGTCAAATATGAAAAATAAAATTATGAATACACATAATATTTGTGTGGTACATACTCGTAGTATAGGTACATATACCTATACACAACTTCACGCTACAATTCTTGCGAAGACATCATCATCGTGCGGAAATTGGAGGCCTGATATGATAACTAGTTATCGAAAGACATGTAAAGTGAAGAAGATGCCAACCCATGTATACTTGGCCAGCGAGACGCACAATACCATACCCAGGAGTTAAACGTTACTGTTTTTTTTTTTTATTTATTAGTAGGTATTGGTTTTACACATATGATGGGTAAAATTGTCGACAAGCAAAGAAAACCTTAATCACAACAAAAATAAATATTGTGACTAAAATAATGAGGTATTGAAATAAAACAGAAATCGTCAATTCATTAACAAGACAACCTTGGGCCGTTTGTAACATTTTAATTAAAAACCACAAAACGCTTCACCGAGCCCGCCGCTTACAAAACCCTTAATTTGCTGTCGACCTACCTATAGACTAATCTCTCTTAAAATTCATCAATTTAGTTTGAGCCTTGTACCTAATTTCTTGTGAAAATTCAATAGGTTAAATTCTGAAATCAAACTTAGTAGATACTTTATGAAGTTTCTTTATTGTTCTAAATATTGTTGGCCATCAAAAACATGCAACAACAAGAGAGAAACTCTTATACGAGTAGGTACATACACTATGTAGCTATGTGACCTTTAAATGCAATATCTGTCTGTAATATTAACACATGGTTCTTTGTGAGATACCAAAGTTCAAACAAAAAAATATGACTGCTATTTATTTCTAGGATGGTACTTTCTAATGTTCAGAAAGGTTAAATGGATATTGAGGAGATTTTCAGTGGCAGATGAGAGGATTTACGATTCCTCATAGATGACACATAAAAAAGTATTCTTAGTGGAAATTCCTAATTTCTTATAAGTAGATAAAATAAACTCTAAGACATGATTTGGGCCTCGTTTGTCATTCGGTTATTAAAATCAAGATACTAATAACACTTTTCACGGGACAAACGTGTTGGTAGCGTGTACCAACATAAAACAATTACATGTTTTCAAAATAACTATTGACAAATAATTAACACAGCATCCGACACTTCACGGTCTATAAGAATATTCATACGTGTATCGCAGAGATACAAAAAAAGGCGTGAAACGCGCGCTGAAATCGGCGTACACGCTTCAGGCCCCATTTCAGAGCAAAGACACCGCTGAAAGTATGCGCTGATGGGCCGCACACGACGACAAAACGACTTTAAGCATATTGTCTTCAACCACAACAAATTATACCGTCATTTCCGTGTTGACTAATTATATTAAAATACTAGCATTGCCCGCGGCTCCGCCCGCGTTCAGATGACCAAGAACTAAATTCTTCGATTTTACATATTAGTATACTCTGACATTGTAGTTTTTGTATTTTTTTCTCAGAAATGAGACATTTTCCCGCGGTGAAAAGTATTCTTTATATTGACCTGGATGACCAGCTATCACCATACCAAATTTCATCAAAATCCCTCCAGTGGGTTTTCTGTGATGCGGTAACAGACAGACAGACAGAAATTCTAAAGACTATAGATTCGGCCTCTGTATCGATGATAATGTTTTTTTCAATAAGATTTTCCAAAAAAAATTTTAATGTACAGATTCGGCTTGGTTACAATTTTATTTTATGTGTGTATAGATCATTGCTTTACCATATTATTACAACACAGAAAACGATTAAATGATGAGACTTGGTCTATAACTTCTTAAATATGCAATAGGTGTATATAATATAATAGTGGGATATATTAATTAAAAAATAATTATTAAAAATCTCAAGTACCTTATTTGCGCTTATAGTAATTTATGTATTATCTACATAATCTCTATCAAGGTATGGGAGACAAATAATGTTCCTATCAGTTTTTTACTGCCTTCTCTTATAACTTCTAATGGATGTACAGTAATAGATATAGATAATTAAGATAGAAAACACTATATTTTTAAATGTAAAAGTATATGTAATACATAGAATCTTTCTATGTACTACATATACCTACACGTAAGTGTTCATGGGCTGAATACAAGTGTTCATTTGTATACGTATACCGTGAAAATATAACAAAATAAAAATTTATGATTTTTCTCGTCCTTAAACTAATGTGAGATCGTATCGTTACAAATAGGATCATTACCTTGTTTTCGAATTATATATGCATATCTAGTTAAGAGTTGTATCGAATCAAGTATCAAATGAATCGATATGAAGCTTGAGTCATAGCGCGATGTAGAATTGGCAAGTTTTTATTCAAATGGCTAATGAGGGAAGCGGGCAGTCGATAAATTATAAACTTAAATATATTGCCTGCCACGCGACTATTGTCTCAATTCATAAATCAGTGTTCAAAATTATAAATAGAAAATTGATTTATTAATTTAAATCATTTGTATAATTTTAAATTTAACATTAATTAATTATAACGCAATAATTTACACATAATTTATATAAGTACATGTACATATATATATATATATATATATA